TTATTCCTAATAACTCCACAACCCAGGAACTTTCATTAGTCAAATTTCATAAATGAGGATATTGATAGTGAAAGAGGATTAAGTAACTTGCTCAATTTCACACAGGAAGTAAGCAATGGAGCTCAGATTCAAATCTAGCATCCAAGTTCTTAATCGATACTTTTCCACATATTCAACCTGTTTAAGAATAAATGGTCTCTCCTAGATTAGTTAACAGGATGCATATAATTCAGAACTTAGTCTAAAAGATGAAAGTAATTCTTTTTTTAAACATTACTTACTGAATTTTTTTACCTTAGAACAAAGATAATACCAGATGCAAAAAAGGGGGGATTCTATTGACTACATTGATTAGTTGATCCAATCCATCTACAAACCTTCCCTTCTCTTTTGCCAACTTCTAGCTAACCAGGATTTCTCCCCACCCTTTTTTTAAAGCAAATATCACTTATTACATCCACCTCTATGTCCCTCCATTATAAAAAGAAAACTGGTCAATGCAGAAAAGTTGAAAAAAAAAATTCATGGAAGAACAATGATAGCAAAAAACAAAAAATATTTTCCTGTCACTGAGGTCATTCAGGAATAGTTACTGTTAACATTCGTATATGCTCTTATGTGTCCTGCCAGCGTATTTTTTCCACCTATCCATCCACCCTTCCACTCACTTACCCACCAAAAGTAACAAACTATGTCAGTAATAACCAGCTAGGGATAACCACATGATCCAGTTCAGATCAATTAAACAAGAACAGAAGGCTGCTGGGTGGGCTTTGAGGAACGCTTTTTACCTTCCTAATATAAAGGGATATATTCAGCAGTCACAAGTCTTCACATTTTCAACAACTTTCTTGAGATATAATTAACACCATACAATTCACCCATTTAAAAGTACACAAATCAATGGTGTTAGTATATTCACAAACTTGTGCAACCATCACCACAATCAATTGTATAACATTTTTATCACCCCAAAAGAAAGTCCATATCCATTAGCAATCACTTCCTATACTCCTTAACCCCTTCCCTAGGCAACCAATGATCTACTTTCTGTCTCTAGATTTGCCTGCTCTGGACATCTCAAATAAATGGAATCTTATGAAACGTGGGCTTTTGTGACTGGCTTCTTTTACTTGGGTAATGTTCTCAGGGATCATCCATGTTGTAGCACACAGAAGTACTTTCTTTCTTTTTAGGAACTAATAATATCTCATCATTTGGATATCTATCCATTGGTCAGTTGATAGACATTTGGGTTTTTTTTGACTGTTATACATAATGCTGCTATGAACATTTGCGATCAAGTTTTTGTATGAAACTATGTTTTCATTTCTCTTGGACATTTTCCTAGAAGTGAAGTTGCTGGCTCATATGATAACTCTGTTTAACATTTTAAGGAACTGTCAGACACTTTTCCAAAGCAGATGTATCATTTTCATTCCCACCAACAAAGTATGAATGCCTTCACATTTTGCCCTTCCCTTTTCCTTCCTGGAAAAACAGTCCTGATGCCAGAAAGTAGAGTAGCCAGCTTAAAACTAGGAGGCACAAACATGAAGGTGCTAAGGATGACAGAAAGAAAAATAGTCTGGGTTTCTACTTACCTCTAGACTTCCTGTTATTGGGGAGGAAAAATCCCTATTTGATTAAGCTCTTATAAGCAAGGTCTTCTAACAGTTATAAAAAAGGCGAATCTCTGACCTCCTAAACATGCAATGTCATTCTATCCAGAGGAAGAAATTTCTTCTTGATCTTTATATACTAATATGGTACATAGATACTATATATACCATCTTTTTAAAAGTTACGGTTGTATATGATATGCAAATTATTTTGAAATTTTAAGATAAACCAATGTTTTCATTTTATCTATTCTCAATTTTTTAAATTATTCATTATTATTCAATTAATGCAATAGATATTAACAATGACCAATATCTGAACTAAGCAAAATAAGCAAACTAGTCAACAAAGATTCTCCTACTAGCTTTTCAAATAAATTCACTTAGGCTTTAAATTATTCTCTGAGATAGGTAATGCTACTATTCCCATTTTATAGAAAAAGAAACTGAGGCACAGAGAATTTAAGTAACTTGCCCAAGGTCACACAGCTAGAGTCTGAACTAGTAAAGTCAGGTAGAATTCCTGCCTAACTGTAAGGTGTCGGTACCCCTCCTCTTATACAGTACCTTGGCAATTTTAAGATAGAAAATTAATAATTAATAGCTTGAAAACATATAAAGTTATATAGGTGTAAGTGAGTGTGTGTGTGTCTTCTAATGTTACACACTACTTTCACAGTGAGCTGAGTGGTCAGGGAACAACTATTTTTTTAGCACCCTCTACATGCCAGGCAATATACACAGTGTTCAACAAGTATTGTCTCTTTAAATCCCCATAACAGCCAGGAAGAAGACACTGTCCTCATTTATAGGTAAAGAATCTGAGACCCAATAAAGTTAAATAACTTACCCAATTCTGCACAATTGATAACTAGCATATTTGGGTACAAAAATCAAATCTTCTTTGTTCAAGCCTAATCCTCTCTCTACTCGACAAAAATGTTTACCCATTTAGGTTATCCATAGACTTAAATTGTAAACTCTACATGACCATATAAGCTCTTACAGCTTTATATTTGTTAGTCTCAGCCTTTTCTGTTGATAATCTGTCATCTGCTTTAACTGTCTGAAATATGTGCCTATCTTTTCTGCTAAAATACCTGAAATTTCTACTACTAAAATATACTCAAAAATAAAAACACATGACCTGGAAAAGACATTAAGTGAATCCCTCATCACGTTTGAAGAAATTACTCTAAAAGTTCAGATGGTCAAGTTATCTTCACAGAAGATCCACATTAACCATTTTTTATTAGAACAATGATATTCAATTACCTATCTGTTGGGACCATACCCTTTCCAATACCCCTCATGACGCTGATACAGCAATTGTTCTCTCCCTCTCAGTAACAATCATGTACTCTCCCCTAAGAAGTGTTCTTAGTCAACATTTAAACACTTCCCTAAAAATAAGATATCCTGAACTTGCTATTACCTCAAGTTATTAAAGGCACAGCCAGGTCTAACATAAAAGAAAGTTCTGTTCTTAGATATAGGCAAGCACTTAGACACCACTCTTGGTCTACTCTTGAGAAGTCTTTTTTTTTTCTTGTAGAGATGAGGTCTTGCCAAGTTGCCCAGGCTGATCTCGAACCTGTGGGCTCAGGCAATCCTCTCACCTCAGCCTCCCAAAGTGCTGGGATTATAGGCATGAGCCACCACACCCAGCTGTAAGTCTTATCTATACATATTATCATCAGGGTCTTAATCGTTGTGTCAATATTTTCACCTTAAAAATGTTGCAAGGGGACAATTTTGTAATGTGCTCATGGGGGATTACTATTTTATAGAACCTCTATAATATGACCCCATGCCAATTATATACCGTTCTTCCAATATTAATAAAATACAATATACCTGCTATTAATTACCCTCCATAAGCCAGGCCTGTTAGGCATGGAGTTTAATTCTCATCTCTTTAATGTCCACTGTTCCCATTCTAGGCTTAGTTCCACCTCTATAACTCTTCTTAACCCATGCTCAACATCGAAATGTCATCTCTCCACTCTTACTGTCAATGCAGCCCTCCCTATACTCATAAGCTCATACTGAGCTGCACCGTCTATGGATTCTTGTAACACTGAAAGCCTACACTTCCTCATCCCATTCTTGATTACATTCTGCCTAAAGTTGCTCTTGAGTGGTCATTCTTGTTCTGCAACCACTGGGCATGTTTTTTAGAGGGTCAGACCTATTCACATATTTTTCGTTTCTCTCCTAGAATATTTATATAGCACAGTGATTTTTTTTTAAATAAACAATATAAACAAGACTATAGCTTTTAAAAATCTACTTTTAAGTATCCTCATACCTACAAAGAATCTCGCTAATACAAGCCATCTGTTTATTAAACTAAATCCAAAAACTATTATCACCCTCTTTCAAGAATGTTAGTTTTGCTTTAAAGTAATAATATCAAAATTCTTAAAATTAATTTAGACTTTTATTTCAGACTCCAAACCCAGTAGATTGGGGTTTTACCAATACCTTAAATATGCATATTGCTTTGCTTACCACATCAATGGCCACAATCTGAAGGTAATCTTTAAGTCATAAGTTTCCCACTGCAAGTGTCTAGGCTCAGATATTTAAAATCACAATGAACAATCTGTATTTACATAGGTGAACTCTCTAAAAAATTAAGTTGATTCCTAAATTATCATTTCATTTATGCTTACAACTTTTCATTAAACAGGCAAGTCTTAACAAGTCCATTCCACTATTTTAACTATCAACGCGTCTGAAATGACCTATAATTAGTCCAGCTAGTTTCCATTGAACCTGTCACACAAACATAGCAAGCACTCTAAATCATTAAAAAATAAACTTGAATTTTAAATCTTTGTTAATCACTAATTATAGGTGGTTCCACACTTGAAAGAAAGGAACAGACTATTCAAATCAATTCTATCCAAAATAAATTAGAAAAAATAAAAACCTATCACCAAATGAGAGAGAAAAATTTTCTACTAGCTCAGTTATGACTCAAGCTTATGAAATTTGCAGCCAGAAATAGAAATGAAGCAAGGCCAAAACATATGAAAGAACACTGCCAGGATTACTCAATAAAAAGCTAATGATGAGGTTTCCATAGGAAAAACAGATCACAAAGGAAAAAAAATATATACATGATGGATACATTCACCAAGAAATATCACTAATTTCCCCATAAGTAAAGACAAAATTAGCCATCAAAATTTACATTAATGTACTACATCATTAAATATAGATTTAACAATCTCTCTGTGACTCAATAAAATAAAGATAAGAATAAATACACGTTCTTCCAAGATGGTTTATTAGAATTTGCACCATAAAGAATTTCCGGACATTTGCTTTGAAATGTATTTTGTAAGGACACAAAAGAGGAACTCATACCTGTCTTACTAATGACTTCTTGCAATTCCGTCATAGAACTGACGATCGCTGCAAGAAGGTCAGAACTGGTGAGCCAACCCAGTGCTTGTAAACAACGTAACTGCTCCTTCTGATGTTCTGCGAAAAGAGAAAAAAGTCCACGATAAAATTCTACAAAAATTTATTAAAGTCTATATTTAACATTTGTAGCAGCATTCAGCTATTTAGGAAACAGATCAAACACTCTATGCAGAACCTTGCCTCGTGCAGAAAAATCTATCAGAAATGTTAGATTTGATCGACCTAATTTATGAGTAACCATTAACTGATACTTAAAAGAGAGAGAAAAAGAAATTTTCTTTAGTCTTACTTAAATTATTAATAGTCTGCTTTAAGTTAAAAATTTAATCCATTGTTTCTTCAGAATAGTCAAGCATTTTTAGTCAGCTGGAAACTTCACATTTTTTCTTTCTTCAAAAGATTTTTAACTTTCATCATTTTATATTGATCCATAGAAAGCAAAAAAAATTATACAGATACTTTTAAATAGGGCCAGGCTTGGGACTGACATAACTGAAAGATCACTGTATAAATTTTTTACTGCAAAGTAGGACTCGGTGGCTCAGCCTGTAATCCCGCGCTTTGGGAGGCTGAGGTGAGTGGACTGCCTGAGCCCGCGGGTTCGAGACCCGCTGGGGCAACTTGGCGAGCCCTCATCTCTACAATAAATCAAAAAAACAGCCGGGCATGGTAGCACGTGCCTGTAATTCCGGCTACTCGGAAGGCTGAGGCGGAAGAATCGCCGGAGCCCAGTGGGTCGAGGTTGCAGTGGCCAGGAGCGGCCACTGCACTCCACTCTGGGCGACAGAGTGAGACTCCAACTCAAAAAAAAAAAAGAAAAAAATTTTTTTACTGCAAAAAGAGGATTCAAATATCCTAAAGCTGGACAATGTTGATTATATGTATGTATGTATATATATATATATATATAGAGAGAGAGAGAGAGAGAGAGAGAGAGAGAGAGCGCAATACTTTATATTTTAATCTGTTTAAAACAAAAAAATCAAGGCCTACTTTATATAAAAATACACACTTATCCATATACACACATCTATCTACAAACGTATGGAACAATGTTATATTATTTGACATATTACATGATTTTTTAAAGTTTTTGCCTAATAGCCAAGCATATCCATACTGTATTTCATGAATATGCAACTTAGATTTTTAAAAGCACAAATTATCTTACTTGGATTTTTATGCTTGTTTTTGGGCTCTCCTGTACACACCAGCATGCCTATGCCTTCTTTGAAACTTTCCATCCAAGTAAAAAGAGAGGCACATGATTGACCCAAAATTTTGAGTCTGTTTGCTGCCAAAATTGCAATAGCACCTTTCCGGAATATACGTATCAGTCCTTTGAATGGTTTTCTCTTTATTTTGGCTTCCTCTTGCTTCTTTTCCTCTACAGTGGACAAAGCCTGGGCTAGAGTTCTAATTTCCAATTTGAACAACTCAAAGGTGCTCACTTGCTCCTGGAGAAAATCTCTCTGTGTAGATAAGGCACATGATCGGCTATAGAGAGGATATAAGGCACCAGCCATCAATGCACAGGCAGCCAGCAATGATGTCTGCTCCCTTTGAGTCTGGGATGACATATTTTTGAATTGTGAATTCTCAAGAAGCAACTGTTCGTGTGACTTCTCAATACGGTTCAATTTTTCCATATTTTTTTCAGCAATTTCTTGAAATTTCTGTAAGAGAAGTCAAATAAATCTGATCATGAAATAAACAGGTATCAAGTAATATCCCTTTATACAAAGAAAATAAGCTTTTGCTGACAACTACTTCTTCTTATTCAAAAGATACATGTTCTAACATCTCCAAAACGTACATAAGACAGATAGGGCAACAGTGAGCCAAACAGCTTAAACCTGAATATGCACACTAAAGCTTTACATACAGTAGAACTCATATATTTAAGAGTATTTCATGAACTTCCTATACACATACAGAAATACACAAATTCAGAAAAGAAAAATATGCCTTCTCTGTATAATTTCTTTTCTTCCATTCCTCACTAACTTTTCTCTCCTCCATTTAAACAGAAATTACACTACCATTAAAGACTTTCCTATATGTAAAAAAGACTTTACTTTTTGCCAAAATAAGCAAAGGGTTAAATCAAGGATACAATAAACAGCACTGGCCATTAGGTATGTATTGCACGGGAAAGGACTGTCTCTCAGAGCACTCCCTTATTTCAGCTTCCTTCTTATCTCCCTAAGACAGAAAGCACACACAGCGCAGTTTCAGTAGCGGGAGGAAATACGAATTGTGAGCTGGGTCTCAAGCAGCTCTCTGATCCTTTTTGCCTAGTCAAGGTGCTTACAATCCAAAACTTAACTTGAAATAAAAAGAAATTTTAACTGTAGGAACCACATTTTAATCACTAGAAAATAAACTGGCTTGCTGTGAAATCTTACAACCAATCATTAAGAAACTGCCGAGACGGAGAGTCATTATACTTCTAAAATGAAAAAACTAACAACTAGATCAGATACAAAGAATCAAGAAGTAGGGTGGCTTTGGATTCTCAACAGCTACGCAGGAAACAAGAAAACAATGTAGCACTGACTCCATATCTAAATGACAAAAGTCTTCAACTTTCGCTTCTACATCCAAGTATGAGTACAAGATAATGTCTTCTTCAGAAATACACTATCTCAAAAAACTTATCTCTCTTGCCCACTTTCTCAAGAAGGTGCTGAAGGATATGTTCTACCAAAGGCCAGAGTAAACCAAGAAAAATGAAGACACATTATACAGAAAACTGGAGATGCAGCACATGAGGGAAGCAAAAGGAGACCTCGGGAGAACTCCTTGCATCAGAGGGCAACCAATCTGGACTAGAACAGAGCATCTCAAAAGACAGTCACAGTGAGGGCTGTCACCACCAAGATCCCAGCAGCTGTTAATGTAAGAACAGAATGTCTAGGAAATAAAAAGAGGAAACAGAAAAAAACAAAACAAAACAAAAACCTGCTGAGATAAAGAACAAAATGTAGAAGATACATGATCCCAATTTCCTTTACTATTCACTTGTCACTCGATAAACATGTAGTGATTACTCACTAAATTCCATGTGCTGGGAAAACAGACAAGTCAATGAGTGTGGTGTGATACTATGCTAGAGCACAAAAGGGCGCTTAAACAAGAAGAGTTGACCGGCTTTTGGAGCAACAGGACAATTAAAGGACAAGTGGGGCCGGGCTCGGTGGCTCAGCCTATAATCCCGCGCCTTTGGGGGCTAAGGTGAGTGAATTGCCTGAGCCCGCCGGTTTGTGACCCGCCTGGGCAGGCGAGACCTCATCTCTACAGTAAAATCAAAAAATGAGCTGGGCGTGGTAGCGTGCGCCTGCAATTCCGGCTACTCGGAAGGCTGAGGCGGAAGGATCGCCGGAGCCCAGCAGGTCGAGGCTGCGGTGGCCGGGAGCGGCCACTGCACTCCAGTCTGGGCGACAGAGTGAGACTCCAACTCAAAAAAAAAAAAAAAAAAAGGACAAGTGGGAGTGAAGTACACAATGAAGAACAATAAAAAATAACTCTCAAAAAACCTATTCCGCCAGCAAGGAGGCTAGACAAGCTACCCTATAATAATTTAATCTAACCCCTAAAAACAATGGTGACTTAACAGCTTCAGTTGGACTTTCCTTAACCAGGTGAGTTGCCATGCCCTGACCACAGGCCCCTTTCTTTTTAAAAGTAGGCCGGATGAGTTCAATTTTATTAGGAGAGTCATTCAGAGACAGAGAAATATTACACTCTGTATCTGTGTACTAAAGTGAAGTACTGTCTTCTTCATGAGAAAACTCTTTTGGGGACGGGAAGAAAAATATTTATCTTCACATCATTGGTTTAGACTGTACTATGTGTAAAACGTAATGTTGATCTTTGGGAGAAGTTTGTGGTGAGTGTGTGTCTCAGTCAAGAGTTGCCCACCGAACAACTAGAAAATTCAAAAGGCGCTTCTAAAATTTACACTGCCAGGAAGGCCTCAAAAGAGATTAACTTGGAGCAAATTGTACAAACTCAAGACTTAGATATCAAAGGCTAACACGGGCAGTGCTGATAGGCAGCAGCCAAAAGACTTCAAACTTGTACAAACGTACAGCTGAGGAAAATCAATCTTGAGCCAAAACCAAGCCTGAGGCTTCCCAAAGGTAGGTGGCTGGTAGATGGGATCCTCAGGCACAGACCTGAGGAGACAAGAGTAAGGCACACATACAAGAAGGCTGCTCTCAGAAGGACTCGACTTCCTGGATGCTTTCCTTTGGGCAGGGGAAAAACTGTACTTTAGACAAAGGTTTTAACCGTTTCTACAACACACTTTAATCCTCTGTTTACTCCAACACTTTCTCTAAGTCTGACCCAGTCATACCTAGGTGGACTGCTTGGAAGCGGATGTGAAATGACCTTGTTAAGGCAGGCAAACGAGGAAAACTGACACTTCGGTGGTAGCTGGAAAAAGCAGGAAGACTCGCACGTGAAAAAGTAAGAGCCAGAACACAGGATAATATGCTCTAAGGAATGCAAATAACTCAGAATCCCTGAAGAATTGAGAGGACTGATGGAAATTTGAGAAGCAGATAGATGACTGAGGGCGTATGTGCTATGTTATAAGGAAGGAACTTCAACTTTATCTGGAAAACGATCCAGTAAAATCCTGGAACAGTCGCTATACTCAGTACATGGGTAAGAGAATCGGAAACGTAATGAAGACTGCCGGGCACAGCAGTAGAGTTGGGGAGTGGGGGTGTTGGTGGGAGGAGTGAAAGGAGAGTCGATGGAAACCACGAAGGGCAATTCCATATTCTCACCAAAATCAATTCCACCTGAACATCTAGAGGAAAAAAGGAAAATTATAGAAAACCTGAGGAAATAAAAGAAGCAAGCTAGCAATAGCTAGGTAAGTGAGAATAAAGGTGAAGCTCGATGTCTCAGGCAGAAGTGTGCTTTCAACAAAAATTATACACAAAATTACAACCAAAATTGGCTATGTGGATATAGGCAGACATAGAAATGGAGATCTTAATAATGGAGAAATACCCAAGGCATTCTTACCATGTTCAGGAGCAAGGAACGGGTGCCCAGTGAAATCAAGTAACGAAAAGTCATCAGAGATATAAAAATTGGCAATAGGCTGGACACGGTGGCTCATGCCCATAATTCCAGCACTTTGGGAGGCCAAGGTGAGAGGACTACCTGAGCTCACGGGTCCAAAACCAGCCTGGGTAACTTGGTGAGACCTCATCTCTACAATAAATCAAAAAATTAGCTGGACGTGGTGGCACATGCCTATAGTTCCAGCTACATGGAAGACTGGGCTGGAAGGCTCACTGGAGTCCAGCAGGTTGAGGTTACAGTGGCTGAGAGCATGCCACTGCACACCAGCCTGGGCGACAGAGTGAGACTGCGACTCAAAAATAAATAAATAAATGTTTTTAAAAATTGGCAATAAGAAGTAAAGCTATCTCTATTTGCAGAAAAATTGACAGTAAATCTAGATATACCAAAATATCCGATGATATAGTTAACTGAAGCAGTAAAAAAGTCAGCAAGTGTGAAAACAAATAAAATTAATATACAAAAAAATCAATAGCCTTTTTGTTCAGGGCAGCCTTATTCACAATGACCAAAAGATAGAATAAGACACCAGTGCCTAACAGGTGATGACTGCATTAATCAACCATAAAAGGTAAAGTACCAACACATGATACAACATAAGTGAATGTTAAAAACATTATGCTAAGTTAAAGAACCAGACACAAAAGGCCACATATGTAATATTTCATTTATATTACATGTACAGAATATGAAATTTTATAGAGACAAAATACATGTGTGGATGCCAAGGGCTGGGGGGAAGATGAAATAAGGAGTAACTTGCTTAACGGGTACAGAGTTTCTGCTTGGGGTAAAGAAAAACTTCTGGAGCTAAATAGTGGTGATGGTTGCGCAACATTGCGGATGCATTGAATGCCACTCAACTGCATATTTTTTAAATAGTTAAAATGGTAAATTCTATGTTATGTGTATTTTACCACAATGTATAATATCAACTGCCAGCCGGGATTGGTGGCTAGTATCTATAATCCCAGCACTTTGGGAGGTCAAGGTGGGAAACTGCTTAAGCCCAGGAGTTTGAGATCAGTCTGGGAAACATGGCGAGACCTCATCTCTACAAAAAAATAAAAAATTAGCCAGGCATGGTAGCATATACCTGCAGTCTCACCTACTAGAGAGGCTGAGGTGGGAGGATTGCTTGAGTCCAGGAGTTTGAGGCTGCAGTAAGCCACAATCGTGCCAGTGCACTCCAGCCTGGGTGACAGAGTGAGACTCAGGAAAAAAAAAAAAATCAACTGCCTTTAAGCAAGTAAATAACAACAAAGAAGACAATGGAAGAAATAACCCATTTATAATTCCATAATTTAAAAGACAGAATAAGCCGGGCTCGGTGGCTCAGCCTGTAATCCCACACTTTGGGAGGCCGAGGTGAGTG